GGAAAGCAAACCTCAGCAAACCTCCCACTCCCCAAAAGACCCCAGGCACAGACAGAGGCAGCCCCAGCCTGTCCCCAGCATCCCCACAGCCACCCTCACACCTCAGCACTGGGCTGGCTCCCAAGGGACCCCCCAGAGCCCCCACTCAGGTCCCACCCTCACATGCCAGCACTGGACTCTGGATCCTGAGGGACCCCCAAGAGCCCCACTCAGGTTCTACCCTCACACCTCAGCACTGGGCTGGCTCCCCGAGAGCCCCCACTCAGGTCCCACTCTCACACCTCAGCACCGTGCTTTGGCTCCCAAGGGACCCCCCAGAGCCCCCACTGAGGTCCCACCCTCACACCTCAGCACTGGGCTGGCTCCCAGGGGACCCCCCAGAGCCCCCACTCAGGTCCCACGCAGGAGGGGGGCTGGGGAAGGGGCCCGGCCCTGCCTGGGGGTCCCTGGCCCTGTGTCCCTCCTGCAGCAGCCCCGAGCCCCCCCAGGCACCCCGGAGCACCCACCTGTGTCGGGGCCGTGCTGGACATCCCCAGGCCGCTCTGGCTGTGCCTCCCTGGGCCGAGGCCACCGCGGGTTCCCGTGGCCAGGCCCCGCTCTCCTGTCCCCACACCGGGCACACAAAGCTCTGCAGAGCTGCCAGAGCAGCCCCGCGCCTCCCCCGCTCCCCCAGCGAAACCCAAAACCACCTATTTTTGTCTTTTCCTTTCTCCTCCTCGGGAGGTTTCCAGCCATCAAATGCTTCCCGGGAGCCCTTCAAAGGAAAAGCGGCCGCCCCGTCCCATCCACTTGCTAAACCAGTCTGAGCAGTGCCGGGCGGGCGGGCGGAGAGGCCCCGGCACCCCCGACAAGGGACGGGGACAGGGACGCGGAACCGTCCGCAGGGATCCCAGAGCCAGGGCACCGCCACCCCCCTGTCACACGGGGGGCCACCAGCCGGCAGGACCCCCCAGAGGGCTGCAGAACCCTCCCAGTCACTGCTCCTTCGGCAGGGAAGCAGTTGGGGATTGCTAAATTCTTCTGCCAGCCATGGAAAAGTGCAGGCAGGGCATGGGGAAAGAGCTCAGAGGAGATGTGGAGGCTCCCAGTAGCCCCCAGTACCCCCAGTAAATTCTGCCAGCCATGGAAAAGTGCAGGCAGGGCATGGGGAAAGAGCCCAGAAGAGATGGGGAGGCCCCCAGTACCCCCAGTCAGGCAGTGGGGGAGCACTGGGAGATGGAGCAGCTCCTCCAGGCACTCCTGGGAGAGGAGGAGGGAGGTGAGGAAGAAGGGCCTGAGGCTGAGCTGAGTTTCCAGGACAAAAATTCAGGGTGCACGGAAGATGATATCGGCCTTTTTTTCCCCCCAAAACACAGCTGTGGACCTTTGCCAAGCCTGGAAAACAACCGGGAGGGTTTTCTGGGCTCCCACCAGGCACGGGAGAATTCCCAGGGCACGTGGAGCTGGATGTGCCCCTCATGCCACAGGGTCTGGCAGCCACTGCCAGAGGGGCTTTGCTGAAGCTCAGGGACCACCGGTGCCCAGACAGGGGTGGCACAGCCCTCCCTGGGGGTCACCTGCCCTGGGCATGTGCTGCAGGACAGGGCCAGGTGACAGGGATGGGGTCAAGGTGACAGCCAGGGGGGAAAGTGGCTGTGAAAGGGCTCAGACACCTCCAGGACAACCCAGGGAGCAGCTGGAGGCCCCAGGCTGAGCTTAAACGGGCCCAGGGATGTGGGTGGAGATCTCAAGTGGGGCTGCTCAGAGCAATTAAATCCCTCAGGGCCTCATCCAGGAGAGGAGGCTGGGAGGAAGCACAGCCTGGACCCCCGGGAAGGGGGTGGCACCTGCTCCTGTGTGGCAGGACCCACACACCGCTGTCCGTTTGTGACCCCCAGACCCGTGCAGCTCCTCCCGACACCTGGGGGCTGTCCCCCATTCCCCTGTGCCAGCATCCCTGCCAAGGCACTCAGAGTGGGAGAGCTGCAGCCCGAGCACGGGAAGGGTTTGATGTCCCCGTGCTTGCACAACTCCGAGGTGCAGCGCTCCCACGGGCAGTTCTGGGGCTCCTCACCCGTGCCAGAGAGCACCGGGGGCTCAGCGGTGCCACGGCGGCCCCGGGCGCTCGGGGAAGCTCCCGCAGCACGGGGATGCCTCGGCTCCTCCTCCGGCCGTGGCTCAGCGCGGGCCGCTGGCGCCACCGGGTGCCCGAGCGCTGCCAGCGGGTGCCAGCAGCGCCCGGCCGGGTTTGGGGTGCGAGCAGCGCCCACCGGGACCGCCCCAGCAGCCCCAGGCACCGCCGGGGTCCCAGCCCCACACACGGACTGCGGGGCGCTGGGGGTGCTCAGGAGGGGGGGACACCCCATGACCAACCTGGGCAACGAAGGACAGGAAGGTCCCCCCGAGCATGGCTTTACCTACCAGCACCCCAAAAAAGGGAAGCACAGATCCTAATGTCCCAAAGTGCCACCCTGAACCCCCAAAGAGCGCCCTGGCAGCCTGCCCTGCCCTTCCCACTGGCTGCCTGTCCCCCTAAAGAGCACTTGTCCCCCTAAAGAGTGCCCCATCCCATTAAAGGGCACCTCCCGAGAGCCCCCCTGTGCTCCCAGAGGAAACCCTGACACACACTGCCAGCACCCTGTGCCCCCAAGGGACCCCCAGGCTCTGGCACTGCCAGCACCCCCAGTGACACCCCGAGGGTGCCCACAGGGGAGCCCCGGGGGTCCCGGGGGTGACAAGGAGCCGGTTTGGGCAGAAGGTCTCCGTGGCACCTCATGCCGCGAGCCCCACGCGTGTCCCGGGTGGGGTTGGGGGTCCCGTTTGTCCCTCAGTTGTCCCCCGGTCCCGCTGGCCGTGCTGTGGGTGGGGCCGGGCCCTTTCAGAAGCTCCACCCTCGGCCGAGCCCAGGTGGCACCACGGGGCTCTTCAAAAGGTGACAGAATTCCCAAATCCTCCAAAAGTAGGATTTTTGTCATTTCTGTAAGGAGTATTTTTTATCTTTTCTTTGTAATTTTCCTCCCTGGAATGGGACATCTTTCATGCAAAATCCCCAAAAAGCTTCAGTTGAAGAATTTAGAGATTTTTTTCCTTAGTACTCCTTAAAGTCCTATATCTGGGTCGTTCATCAGGACAATGAAGAGAACTGGGATGGGGCTAGGAGCCCTGTGGCATCCCAGTAATGACAGGTGCCAGGCTGGTGTCACCCCGCTCTGCCATCCTCTGTGCCCAACCCAGGAGCCCATCCCAGGTGTTTATCCAGCTGCAGCCTGGACATTTTGTCCAGAAGGACCCTGGGAGAGTCAGGATCAAAAGGTTTGCTGGAGTCCAAAAAGATTCCATCTCCTGGCTGTCCTTGCTCAGCCAGGTGGGACAGACATCCTGTTGTGGCAGGAAATCAGGCTGGACAAGCAGCACTTTCCCTCATGGAGCTGAACCAATGACTGTGTTGTCTTCCAATACTTCCCAAAATCATCTTTTCTATGATTTTTTCGGGCACTGAAGTGACACTGACAGCCCTGGGGGTTCCAGGGTCCTCCTCCTTACCATTCTGGAAATCAGGACAACAGTCCCCAGTTTCCAGCCAGCTGGGACCTCCTGGAATCCCAAACCATTCAAAATCATCAAGAGAGGCTTTGTGGTGGCATCAGCAACTCTTGGAGCATTCTCAGATGAATCCCACCAGGCCCCAAAGGGATTTGGAGGGATCCAGCTGGAGCAGGAGATCCTGCACAAGTTCATTCCAGATCATTCCTGCAGTCCTGCTTGTCCAGCTCAGGGCACTGGGACTCCCTTGGTCCATCCTCTGCACACAGAGTGCCTTGAACAGCTCTGCCTTGTCCCTGTCCCCTGTGGGAGGTGACATCCCCACCCCAACCAGGCCAATCCATGCTACTCCTACAGTGTCTCTAGCCATCAATAGGTTTGAACAGGCATTGCCCAGCTGGCAGCTCTGCAGCCCAGCCCTGCAGGGTGGGTGGCTGTGCCAGGGGCAGTGCCAGCACTTCACCTGTGCCCAGCCAGACTCTCCCTCAGGCTGTGGGGTCAGGCACCACCTCAGGCCAGGGACAAGCTCTGCCCAGGGCACACCTGGCTGGTGGATGGCAAGCTGAGGAAAAGCACTTTCCCAAGCAGCTGTGAGTTGTTTTCAGGGGCCACAGGTCCCTGAAGTGCCCCCCAGCCCCTCCTCACACCAGTTCCCCCATCCCCACACAGCCAGGGCAGAGCACCAGCTCACAGGGAGTCTGGGAGCTGAGCATGGGAGGTGTCATGGTCCCCACCACCCAACAGCTCAGAGCATCCAACCCCAAATCCTGACACCCTCCCAGCAACCAGGGGGGTTGGCTGGGGTGGGGGATGAAGAAACACTCCTCAAAAACCATTATTAAAAAGCAAAGCGTGTGGCCACAGCCGCTGGTTTAACTTAGAAACACTTCAAGTGGCCCAGAGTCTTCCAAAAAACCCGAGAGCTGCTGGCCCTCGTCCCCCCCACCCTGTCCCACCCCCTTGTAGAATTCCATAAAAGAAAAGTTCCATGTTCCACAAAGTTTCCATTTGTGTGGTGCTGATGGTCTTGTTTGTGGGTCACTGTTGGGTTGTTTCCCCCTTTCTTGATTCCTCTTTTCCTCCTGGCTCTCTGCACACCCAGCACTTCCCATGAAGCCCAGCACGTGCTGAGGGACACACAGAGAGAGGTGATGTCCCTTCTCCTGCTGGGACAGCCTGGGGATGGAGCAGGAATGGCCATCAGCTCCTCCACGAGGGCCCATCACCCCCTGCCCCCGTGCTTGCCACGGCTCCCAGGGAGTGGCAGGGGACAGGGAGCACACGGAGGGGGGACAACAACGGGCAGGAGGCTGAAGAGCCAGAGGCAGCTGCTGGGTGAATTCCAGGTGAGGAGTCAAGGAGCCTCCAGGCGAGGACAAACCCAGGAATAAAAACAGCTGGGAACAAGAGAGAAGGGGCAGCAGTCCAGAATCCATTGTTTGCCGTCCCGTGCCGTCCCGCGCCGCGCCGTGCCGGCGGGGCTCCTGCAGCGGGCACGGCCCGGCCCCGGCGCTCCGCAGTCCCCGCCCCGCCCCGCAGGAGCCGCGGGGTGTGGAGGATGGAGGGAGGGAGGCGCTGCCGGCTCCCAGCGCGGCGGGCACCGCTCACATCATGACGTGCCGCCGGCGGTGCAGGGCCAGGTGGTCGGAGCGGGAGAAGCTGCGGTCGCAGTCCGAGCAGCGGAAGGGTTTGATGCCCGTGTGCTTGCGGAAGTGCCGGGTGAGCTCGTCCGAGCGGGCGAACTTCCAGGTGCAGCCTTCCCACGTACATTTGTAGGGTTTCTCGCCTGCGCAGGGGAGCACCGAGGGGTCAGCGCCACCACAACGGGCCCCCAGAGCCCTCACAGAGATTCCCAACGGGGAATCCCTCTGCACTTCCACCCAGCACTCCCAAAGGGCCCCAGCACCATCCCATGGGGAATGCAGGGACACCACTCCCAGCCCTACCTGTGTGTATCCTCCGGTGGGCTTTGAGGTGGGAGCTTTTGGTGTAGACCTTATTGCAGCCCTCGAAGTCGCACTGGTGGATGCGCCGCTTCTTCAGGTCCGGGGAATCGGCCCTGGGCCCCCGCGCCGCTGGCCTGCCGGAGCAGGGAGAGCTGGAGCCACGGCCCTGCCACCCACGGGGGCTCAGGGGGGCTCAGAGGGAGCTCAGGGGGGGCTCAGGGGGATAAAGGGCGGGGAGGCACAGGCAGCACGACACTCACTCTCTCGGCAGGTCCTGGAAGGGCGCTGGGCCGCTCTCGGAGGCGCTGTCCTCGCTGTCGCTGTTCATGTCCATGGGGTACACAGAGCCAGGGTCCATTTTCACTGGAGGGGTCCGGGAAAGAAAAGCTTTAGGGCACAGAGAGGCGAGGGGTAAGCACAGAACAGAGACTTCCCCAAAGCACCCACCCTGCATCAGGGTGCAGCCTTCCCCTTGCTCCTGCAGTGCTCCTGGCACAGCCTGTCCCTACAGAGAATAAAAATCCAAGTGGGTAGATGGAGAACCCCCAAAGGGAGGAAACAACTTGGGGGCACCACTTTTGGCTGCCTGCTGCTGCCCAGAGCAGGGCAGATCCAGGTCCCCCACCCTGGATAAGGTGGGGAAGCTGGCAATGTCCTGGGAAAGGGGATTGTGGGGGGCACAGAGAGCAGCTGAGCTGAAACCAGAGCTGCTGGCAGCAGGCAGCCAGTGGGAAGGGCAGGGCAGGCTGCCAGCAGCAGGATGGGTGGAGAACAGGCAGTGCCATGCCCTGTGTGTCCCTGCCCTCCCCATGTCCCCTGGGGGGCACAGGCTGGGGGCTGAGAGGCTTTGTATGAGAGCGGCACACTGCAGTGGCAGGGACACTCCACGGTGAAAAATGAGATCCCCCTCGAGGCAGGACAGACACCCTCCACCCCCCAGATTCCGGCGTTCCCCCCAGGTGCCCTTACCAGACCCAGCGTTCTTGCCGTCCCCCCCGATGAGGGGCACGGTAATGGCAGTGACGCCGTCCGTGGGTACGGTGGTGTAGACGACGGGGAGGGACTGCACCACCACGGGGATGGTCTGCAGGTTGCCCATCTTGCTGGGCAGGTTGACGGAGGGGATGGTGTGGATGACGTGGAGGATCTGCTGCCCGCCGCTGCCCTGCGTGGAGGCCAGGATGGAGCCGGGTGAGAGGACAGCCGGGATGGCCGAGGTGGAGCTGAGACCGGAGGGCGGGATGGACACGGTGCTGGGAGCGGGAACCGGGGGAGCCACGAGCATGGGGGAAGACTGGACCGAGGTGGAAGGCGGTGGCGGCGGGGCCGAGGCCGGAGCCACCTTGGATTTATTGAGGGAGAGATCGACGGGCTCGGCCTGGGGCTGGCTGCAGTCGCTGGCCAGCAGCTCCTCCGGGGGCTCCGTCTTGATGTCGGCCAGCAGCACCGGGGGGTCGAGGGGGCCCTCAGCCAGCAGCGCCGACGAGCTCATGGCGGGCGTCGCCTTCCCCTGGCCCTGTAAGAGACCCGCAGTCCGTGAGGAGCCAGGGAAACTGAGGCACGGGGCGGGGGCGAAGGGGTTTTTTAACGGGCTCTCACCAACCAACCGACCGGGGCGGCGCCTCGGGGCGGCTCCGGCGGGGCGTGGGGCCACCCGGGGGTCGCCGGGCCGGGCATGGCGGGGCCCGCCCGTTCCCTGAGGCGGGGCCGGGCCCGCCCGTCCCTGACGGACCCGCCCGGCCCCTCACGGCGGCGGCCGCGCGCGCCGAGGGCGGGAACCGCAGGCCCCGCCCCCCCGCCCGCGCCTTTGTGCCGGCCCGGGCCCGCCCCCCGCGGGCGGGGCGTGTCGGGGGCGTGTCCCGCGCGCGGGGCGGTGGCGGCCCCGCCCCGCTCCTTCCCCCCGCGCCTTAAAGGGGCCGCGCCCCCCCCGGCCCGCGAGCCCTCGCCCGGGGTCACTCACGCACTGACCCGCGGGGCTCCCACGCGTGTCCGCCGCGGCCGCAGCTCCCCTCCGCCGCCCGCAGCACCATCTCCCGGGCCGCGCCGCCCGAGGTGCGAACGGCCCCGCGGCTCCACCTGGGCTCGGCCGCGGGTGGAGCTTCTTAAAGGGCCCGGCCCGGCCCCCGCGGGAGGCACCGGGCACGGCCCCACCCGCGGCACGGCCGGCGCTGCGCCCCCGCGGGACCGCGACACGAGCGAGGGACGAGCGGGACCCCCGGCCCCACCTCACCCCGTTCTGAGACGAGCGGTACGGGGGAACCCCCAGCCCAACGAGCTCCCCGTCACCCCCCGCGCTGCCCCGAGACCCCCCGGCGCTGCCCCCGGCCCCCCGCACGTACCTGCCCACGCAGGGACCGTCCCTGCCCGCGGAGCCCCCACGCACCGGCCTCGCGCGGCGGCCCCGCCCCGCCACACCCAGCGCCGCGCCCCGCGCACACGGCCCGGCCCCGCCCGGGGGGGGCGGCGGCTACAGCGCACCCCCGGCACCGGCACCGAGCCCAGGCACCGGCACCGAGCCCAAAGCACCGGCACCGAGCCCTGCCGATACCGGCACAGGGTCCTCGGAATCGGCACCGAACCCTCCCGATACCGGCACTGAGCCCAAAGCACCGGCACTGAATCCCCTCGGCACCGACACCGAGCCCAAGGCACCGGCACGGAGCCCCCGCTCACGCAGCGAACCCCGAATTCACCGTCCCCATAGAACCGGGTTCCCCCAAAGCGCCTCCACACTCAGGGCAGGGATCCCCCGAACCCCGCACCCAGCTAGGGACCCCCAACAGAGGCACAGAGCCACGGAACCCCCAAACAGAGCCCCCCGTGAATCACCCCCAGGGACAGCCGGGAGCCCCCCAAACACACCGCAAAAAGAGCCAGAGACACGGGAGCCCCCCAAACACACCCCAAAAAGAGCCAGAGACTCCCCTCCTCCCCAGAACCCTCCTCTTCACCTGGGGACCCCCTAACGCACAGATCGCCCTCCAAACACAGGGCACACCCCCAAACAGAGACAGAGACCCCCCCCTCCAGGACCCACATATTGGTGGGACCCCCCCAGCACAAACACTCAGCCAGGGACCCCCACCAAACACCCCCATAACCGCCAAGGACCCCCAAAACATCCCACTCACACACTCACAAACTACCAGCGCCCCCAAAATTCTCCCCTCTCAGGTAGGGACCCCCATAGACTCCTCCTCCAAACCCAGGGACCCCCAAAACACCCCCCAACAAGGAGAGACACCCGTCAAACACCCCACGCTCAGTCAGGGACCCCCTGCAACACATCCCCAGGTCCCCAAAGCACCCCCTCCAGCCAGACTCCCCCAAAACACACCAGGGAACACCCCCAGACAGACATACAACTGCCCCCCGCGCCTGGGGACCTCAGTGTCCCCCCAGGACCGGCCCCTCACACCAGGAGGGTCCCCACAAACAGGGTCACTGAGGGGGGGTACAAAAGGGACACCCCGTCCTCCCCTGGGGGACCCTCCCTTACCCAAATTTGGGGGTCCATTGCACCCCAAAGCCCCGCGGGGGTGGGGGGTGCGGGAAGGGGCAGCAGAGTGGGCGGGGGGTGCTTGCTCGTTGCCCCCCAAATTCCAGCACTGCTGACCCTCACCCCCTTTATGGGAGAACTGAATTCCTCCGTCCTCAGCCCGGTGCACCCCAAAGCCAGCCAGGGGTGCGGGGTAGGGGCTCGGGGGCCCCCCCCTCAAACCCACATATCGGGGGGTGCTGTGCACCGCTCCCAACACTTTATGTCCGCCACTCCAAGGGAGTAATTGGTGCCCCCCCCCCCCCGTTTTTAGCCCTAAACAGCTTAAGGAGGCATTTCGGGTGACCTTGGGCGGGGGGGTGAGCGTGGGAAACCGCCCTCCACAGCCCCCCCCACCGCTTTGTCCCCTCCGTGTCCCCACCCCCTCCCCCCGCTGCGTGTCCCCCACCCGTGGGCGTGGGGGGGTCACACCCCGCCGCCGCCGCCACACCCCCCCGTGGAATTTCCTCCGCGCTCCACCCTCCGCCGGCGGCCGCTGGGGACACGGGGGGGGGGGGGGGCACGGAGGGGACACGGAGCGGGGACCCCCGTGGGGTGAGGGGCGCGGGGGGCGCGGGGGGGTCGGAGCCCGAGCGGGGCCTGTCCCTTTAAGAGCAAAGGGCGTGGGAGGGGAGGGCAGGGCGGGGCCGCTGTGACCTCCCGGCCGCGGGGGGGCGCCCTGCCCGGAAGCGCGCGCGGCGCACGGTGAGGGGGGGCACCCCACGCGCGACCCCCGCGTGAGGGGCGAGGGGGGAGGGGAGGCCTGAGGGGCGCGGGGGGCGGGGCCCTCCCCCTCCATCCCTCCCGTGTCCCCTCCCCCCGCCCGACCCCGCGCTCCCATCCCCCCCCCCGGCCCCCCCAGGCCCCCACGCGCGCCCCCCGTGGCCCCGGCCCCACGCACCGGCCCCCGCGCCTCCTCCGAGCGCATCCCCGGCCGCCGCCGCCGCCGCTGCCCCCGGGGCGGTGCCGGGTGGGGCGGGGTGGGGCCCCCACGGGCGGGGAGGGGCCGCGTGGGGCGGAGCTCCCCTCCCCCACCCTCTTTTTTTTGGGGTGGGGGTGCCCCGCCCTTGAGATGACATCATCGGCAGCCAATGGGCGGCTCCCCTCGCATCCGGCGTTGCCATGGGAACGCGCAGGATTTGGGGGAGGGGGGGTGGACCCCAATTTGTTCCCACCCCCCCACACGGAGTGCACCCCAAAATCGGGGGTGGGCGGTGCTGGAGGGCTCAGCCCGGGGGAGATCCTGGCACTGATGAAGGGGAGCAGAGACCCCCCCACATTGGGGGTTTGGGGTTCTGTGCACCTCCACCCACAGGCGCTGGAGCACCCCCAAACTGCCTGCACTGCCCCCCACACACAGGTGAGCCCCCAGGTATGTGGGGCACCCCCTCAGCACCCGGGAGGCTCTCCCAGGGTGGCAGGGTCCTGGCAGAGCTGGGGGAGCCTCTCCAGGGGCTGCAGCCGTGGGGGGGGGTCTGGGGGTCCCCTGGCCCCTTCCTGGGGGTGTCTGGGGCGGAACTGCCGGTGGGAATCCATCCCTACGCTCCCTGGACCCCACTGGTTTTCCAGCCCTTGTCCCAGGGGACCTGGCTGCTCCCAGTGCTGTGTCCCCAGCCCTGGGTGTCCCCAGCCTTGAGATGTCCCCGCCCTGCTCTGAGTTTGCCGGGCTGGGTTAATCACCCCATAACCCCCCCAAATTCAGGACTCTCACCCCCAGTCCTGACCCAGCTCATCCCCAGGGATGGGATATCCTGCAGATGGGGACTCAGCTGGGTGTCCCCTACCCACGATGTCCCTGCCAGGGGTGGCTCCAGGAGCAGGTCATGGCCACCAAGGGGGTGACCTTGGCACACACAGAGCTCATGCAGGGGTGAGGAGGGGCCCCTGTGACCCCCACTTCTACCATACACAACCAGCACCAAACCAACCTCGTTTTGGCAAAAAAAACCCCCTTCCCCTCCTCAGGAAACACCAGGGAGGGCCCAGGACAGGCTCAGGTGGGGACCCTCCCTCAGTCAACCTCCCCTGGGGAGTTTCTGGGGACCTGCACCCACAGCACCCCCAGCCCAAGGTCACCGAGCTGAAGGACCAGCAGCAGGCACTGGTGACCTCCCGGAAAGCACAGAAGAGAGGGGGCAGCAGGGCAGGGGTTCCCCCCAAGGCCCCTCTCCTGCTCACCAGGGATGGATTTGGGCAGGAGGGGCAGGGAATGGTGTGGATGCTCCTCACGAGGTGCCCACAAGGCACAGTTCACCCCAGGGTGACTTTGGGGACTCTGTGACCCCTGGATGGGCTGGAGGAGCTGGTTCCAGCTGGAGAGCAGCGTGTGGCCACCACAGCCCCATGTCCACCCCCTCAGCACCTCCTGGGGACAATTCTGTGCCACTAAAGAGGAAAAACAAGTGGCACCATCCCCAGGGAGACCCTCAGGAATTACTGACCCTACACAGCTCACCCAGGAGGAAACAGCCTGGGGCTGACCCCACTGGAGCCACCCAGGCACCAAGGCAAGAAAGAAATAATGATAATAATAATCCAAAAAATCTGGAATTATCTCCAGGACAGCCCCAGAGCACAGCCTGTCCCAGGGAACTCACCCCGGGCCCCAGAGCAGCTCCCAGGGAAAGGAACTGGGCCAAGGGGGGATTTATTCAGGATCTCAGTGACACATGGCATCGAGTTTCTCCTCATTACAAGGTCAAGTGCTGCAGGAAGAGGCTGGATCACGGCCACCTCATCCAGGTTTGGGATGGTTGTGGGAGAAACACCTGGAGCAGGCATCAATATTTTTTTTTTCCTGAGGGCAGGAGGTGCTAGAGAAAGAGGGAAGAGGGTGATGGGCCTGATCTCCCAAATGTCCCTGCTCAGAATGGAAGGGGCCAGAGCAGCTACCGACCCCAGGCTCCCAAAAAGGCCTGGGATCTGCTTTGGGAAGGGACAAAGGACACATCTCAGTGCCAGGGAGCAGGCAGGGCAGGTGCTGCGACACAGCCACCCGTGTTTGTCACAGGCTGCCACCCCATGAGCACAATGGCACCTCGGCCACAGCAAAAGGACCAGGCTCATTCCCACAGAGCCCCCAGACCCGTGCACTTCAGGAAAAGGGATTTGGGGTGGGAGAACAGCAGAACTTTACTCCAACCCCACTGGGGCACTGTCCCAGGAGCTCCAGCTCGGCCAGGATTTGCCTCCTGACAGCTCTGGCCATTTGTCCCTCACAGCTCTGTGTCACCTGTCCCCACTGCACACTCCCCTTTGACATCATCCCACTCCCATGAGCTGCTGTGGTTTGTTCCCAAAGGAAACCCAACTCCTGTCACCATGGCAATGAGCAGCGTTCCCACCGCCCCCAGCAGGTGCCCAAAGCCCCGGGAACCGCGGCCTCTCCTGAAGCCCTTCCCCGTGGGATGGGATATTCCAGAGGCTCCAACACAGCTCCACATCATCCTCTTGGGAAGCTGTGACATTCCCAGGCACGGGGCAGCTCCAAGGGGGAACAGCGGCTGTGTCGGGGCTGTTCCACGATTCCCACTCCAGCTACTCCACACCTGCACCCCGGGGAACGCAACCTCTGCCCCTGCCCGGCCATTCACAGCTCTCCAGGGGCTCCCTTGGAGCAGCTCCTCTCCCACGGGGACGATTCCCACGGAACTCCCCCAGCCCGAGGCACGGCAGCTGCCGGGTGGGCGGTGCGAGACGCGGGTGAGCAATTCCCGGAGCATGGAGCGGGGCTGCGAGCTCTTGTGCGGAGCCCTCAGGTTCTCCGTCCCTTTTATCACCTCGTTCCTACTCCTGGACTCGCCCCGATGGATTTCTCCCCTGGACTCAGGTTCTCCAACCCTTTTAGCTCCTTTCCCTCCCCTGGACTCAGGCCCTCTGGCCCTTTTCTCTCCTCGCTGCCACTCCCGGACTCGCCCCGGAGGATTTGTCCCCTCCCAGCGGGTGTGTGGGCAGGGATGCAGGGAAGAGCCAGGCACGGAGGCACCACACCCATTTTTACACAGTAATTTGATGCAGCAAGAGAGAATAAAGGGAGGGAGATGCTGCCAAAGCGATTCCCAGTGAAACTCTGGAGTGGCTTTCAGCCAAATCCCCCCCCAAACCACACAAGGAGCCACCCAGCCCCTACAGCTCCTGCCTCCCAAAGCTGCCCCGGGATTCGGGAGAAAGCAAACCCACTTGGCAAAGCTCTCAGATCTGAAATCCCTGGTAGCAAAAATTTATTTCCATGACCAAAGATGAGGAGAAATTTATAAACTTTTTCTAGCAACCATCCAAGGAAACAGTAAATATGCCATCAGCCGGCAGCCCCGCGTCCAGGAGGGCTCTGCCACACCCCCTGCGGGCACAGCACCCTCCTGCCTCCTTCCTTCCCCACCTCCCGTGCCAGGGAATCCGGGAAGCTCCGCGGCGGCTCCGGCCAGCCCCCAGCTCTAGTGTCCAACGTGATGAGGAGAAAAAACAAGCAGCACACTCATTTCAAAGCCCAACAAAGACATGGACAGTGTTAGATTCTCCTGAAAAGAAGCAGTCCCGGTGTGTTTTTTCTCCCCACAAAGCGCCGGTGCCTGGGATCAGCGCATGAGCAGGCTGTGCTTTGGTCCATCCACCCTCTCCAGCTTCTCAAAGTGTTTCCTGGCGTTCCGGATGTTGATCAGCGTGGCCGCGGAAGCTGCGACGGAAAAGGGACAGGGGAGATAAAAAGAAGTTGAAAAGGGTGAGAGTCACTGTGGCCTCAGGGCTGCCTGGCTCCAGCTGCTCTGTCTGCAGGGGCTGGGTGCATCCTGCTGCTCCCGAGCCAGGCATAATCCACAGGGGGACTTTGGGCAGGGAAAAATTTAGGGTGAGATGGGCTGGGCAAGGTTTAAGGTGGGATGGTCTGGGAAAATTCAATGGGGGAAGATCTGGGCAAAATTTGATCTGGGATGGGTAAAAGTAAGCATGGGAAGGTCTGGGCAAAATTCAACATGGAAGGGTCTGAGCAAAATTTAATAAGGGAAGGTCTGGGCAAAATTTCATGTGGGATGGGTAAAAATTCAGCATGGAATGGTCTGGGTAAAATTTCATGTGGGATGGATAAAAACCATGGGAAGATCTGGGCAAAATTTCATGTGGGATGGGTAAAAAGCATGGGAAGGTCTGGGCAAAATTCAGCATGGAAGGGTCTGAGCAAAATTTAATATGGGAAGGTCTGGGCGAAATTTCATGTGGGATGGGTAAAAATTAAGCATGGGAAGGTCTGGGCAAAATTCAGCATGGAATGGTCTGGGTAAAGTTTAGTGTGGGATGGCCAGGGCTGTTGGCTGATGCCAGCAGAACATGAGGAAAAGCCTCGCCCAGGGAGAGCTGCTCCTCCCAATGCTGCTCCCCAGCCCAGCAATGCCCAGGGATCCCCCAGTGTCCCTGATTCCCCAAGGAGGAGGCAGGGAAAGCACAGCAGCAGGCCTGGGGAGGGCTGGGCAGTGTCCCTGCAGCCCCTGAGCTCCCAGCAGCAATTCCAAGAGCTGTGTAAACAGGGATCTGCTCCCAGGGGCTGCGGGCTGGCACTGCTGCAGCTCCTCCTTGGGATAAATAGAGGCTGCTAAAATTAGAGCCTGTCCACCCAAGACAGCCCAGCAACACCCAAACATGAGCCAGCTCTGCTTCATCCCCAAAAATCACCGGGGCTGCCAGCTCCCAGCTGCCCAAAATAGGCTTTAGGCACGACCTGCTCAGCCAGGTCTGGTTTGGTGGCTCCCTGGGACAGCAGCAGCAGCTCAGCTGTGCCACCACCACCTCTGCAGGGTCCTGGTCACACTCAATCCCTCTCTCTTAATCAGTTCTGTCATTAAAAACTCATTTTCCAAGGGAAACATGGTTTAAACTGGATTAATTCCATAATTTTTGAGGTTTTTCTGGGTTTTTTTTGTCCCAAGCAGGTTTCTCTTGGCTCTGACTTACGTATGGAGGGGTCTGACATGACCACCATCACGTAGGTGTTGGATGTGAAGATGTCAATGAAAGCAGCAAAGTTGGAGTTCCTGACCTCCATGCTCTGGAAAGAAGCTGCCAGCTTACTGAAAAACAAGGAAATAAAGGGGAGAAAAAGAGTGAATGAAGAGCTTTTGTGCCCACATGGCCAAAATCCCTGATCTGAGCTGTTGGGAACAAGGAGGAGCTGCAATTCCCACTCGGCAAGGTGTGGTTACAGCAGGGCTTTGGCTGGGCTTAGTTTTAAAGGCAAATTCCTCAGTTTGGGGCCAAATGAGAACAATATCAGCTGCTTGTGCCTTGAATGAAGGAAATTCCAGACACAACCTCCCTGACCAGGCCTGCTCCCCATGGATACCAGGGCTCAGCCATTCCCAGCTGGACATTCTGGATAAGCAGCAGAAATAAGCATAAAATGGGAATATCTGGAGACATCTGAACATCTGTAAACCCCTCCAGAAACTTCTCCATTCTATCCAGCTCCAAACACCCTCAGAATTAACCTGGCAGTGGAGCCTGAGGGCTGTGCAAAGCCAAGCTTCCCATTTTTCCACTGAAATCAGGGATAAACAGTGCCTGCAAGCCCCATCCTCCCCAGGCTGCCCTGTGGGCCTGGGTTGCAGCAGAGCTCTCCATTCCCAGATTCCAAGAGAAACACTTCTGATCACTCCAGCCCTGGAATTCCCCTGCCTTGATCCAGGAAGAGGAGACCTGGAATGAAACAGCACCAAAGCTCTCCCACCATGAGCAAAGGAGGAGTTAAATTAACATTTAAATGATTTGTGTTCCAGCTGCTGAGGAGTCAAACTGGGATTCTCTGGAGAGAGCTGGAACAGCCCTGATGTCCCCAGTGCTGCTGGGAGCAGCTCACCTGCAGCTCAGCTTGAACTGTTTGATGATGTTGCTGATCTTCTCAAACCTGTGCACGTCCCGCTGCTCCTTGCACTGGTAGTGGGAGATCACCTGGAGAGGGGCAGAGCAGTCAGGATCCCAGCCCAGCCCTCCCACAGCAGCTCTGGGAATGCCTGGGGAGCAGGGGGGGTCCCTCTGCCTTTGGCTGACTGATCTTGGGAGTTTCACAGAAGTTCAGGTGGCACAGACCTGCCAGGTGACACCACTGTCCCCTGAGGGCTCAGCTGTAAAACAAGTTCCAGTCACAAAGCCAAATGCAGCTCCTGGCAGCAGCCCTGCCACTCTGCCATCCAGGAGAGCAGCCCAGGGAGTGCTGCCCAGCTGCCACCCCCACCCTGGGCAGCAGGGCAGGAGCTGGGCACAAAGCAAGGCACAATTCCCCAGGGAAGCTGCCCACAGGCTCCAGGATTGCCAACAAGGAGGGTTCCTGGCTGCTCCACACCCAGGAGGGCTGGGGAGGGCCCCCAGATGCTGCCCTGTCCTGTCCTGTCCCCTGAGCTGATCCCAGAGAACAGCAATTTACATCTTGCTCCCAAAACAGGTGGAAACAGAGTAAAAAAATGTGTCCATCACCTCAGGAATGGGCTGGGATGGATTTTCCCTCCCATCCTGCACAGGCAGTGATCCCAAAGGCAAATCAAGCTGCTCCTCCCCTAGAAAAGCAGCTCAAAGGCAGCTCAAAGCTGCTTCCTTGGGAATTCCTTCTCCATTCCTTCTCTCACTCCAATCAGAGCAGAGGGAGCAGCCCTCATGCCAACACCCAGAGGGTCTGAAGGGCTTTAGGAACCCCGAAAACATCTCCACAAACATTCCCACCGAGCTGGTGGCCCCAGCCCTTTATTGCTCAGCCACATGGAGTGAGAGCTGCATTTCCTGCCCACACAGCTCCATCCCCACAGCAAAGCTGACAGCAATCTCTTCACAGCCTTAGGCCAGCTGCTTTGAACTCTTCACAATCCCAAAATCAGCTCTCTCTGGATGTGTCAGGAGCCCTTGCACAGGGATCTGAACTGCTCTATTCAGGGAGTCACATTTATCAGGGTTTTTTAGGGTTTTTTTCCTCTTTTTTCCCTTAACCACCTTAAACCCATCACTTTTTAAACTTGCCCAATTATTGCCACAAGCACAGTTTTAGCCACATTCAAGACTTGCAGTTCCCAGTGTTCAATTTCCTTCCTAAACTTCCCAGATGAGGTTTTTCCACTCCAATTTAAACACAATTGTAGAACTGTACAATTCTACAATTAAAATTACAATTTCAGAATAAGATTTCCCAAAGAGATTTTCACAGGAAGATTTCCCTTCAAGAAGAGTGAGTCTTGAGAATGTGTAAATATATGAAAAAAAGGGAGGAGTTTTTTAAGAAGTCACCATTGCACTTAAATTAAGCACACAATTTTTGAAGCAAAGATAATTTCTTTCAGTTAAAAATGTCCTTGTAACAATCACACTGTCACACACCCCAAGGTGGAACTATTCATTATCTCCAAAAGGTCAAAAAGCAGAACTTGCCAGGCATGGCAAGTGTTTGTTTCTGATAGTTTAAGGAGGAAAAAAAAAGTCATGGCTCCTTTCCCAAATTCCCTCCATCATTTCCAAATCACCAGCAAGGAAAACACTCCAAATAATTCAAGTATTTCCTTCAGCTCAGCAAGAGTTTGGTGCAAAGTGTGAATATGGCCAAGAACCAAGAGTGGTTTTATCTTTGCAGAGGGATTGGGAGCACAAGGACCTGGAAAAGCATCACAGTCCCCTGGCTGACCCCGCACCCATGCTCTGGATTTGCAGAACATCAAAAACCAAAAGGAATCAGGTCCAGCTCAAATGCCCCAGCAGGAGGAAGTGAAAAGGTTTGGTTGTGAAGCTCCAAAAGGTTCCTGCCCTGTGCAGAGGGGGATTCTCAGAGCAGTCCCACCACAATGGGGACATGAAACACTCCCAGAGCCTGCAAGAGGAAACCCCAACCAAAGCTCAGCTCAGGGGGGAATTCTGGGATGGTCCCATGCGTTGCAGACATTTTTTCACAGAAATCTTTTCTTTCAGATTTGTTCATCTTCTGGGAAGCAAAGGCCCCAGAAGAAGAATGTAAACAATGATTATCAGCTGCTGTGGAATGCAATAAGATGCACCTGTGATTAGTTCATATTCCATGTGTTTATAATTAAGGGCCAATCACAGGAGCAAGCTAGAGACAGAGTCCCTAGACACAACTTTGCTATAGATTCTTTTCTATTCTATTCTTAGCTTAGCAAGCCTCTGCAACTTCTCTCTTTATTCCTATTAGTATAGTCATAATGTATTATATATCATATATCAATAAATCCAGCCTTCTGATCATCAAACAAGATTCTCATCCTTCTCTCACCATAGAGACCGTCATCAGGTGTCTGTAATACCCATGGGCCACAGGGTCCCAAGGCCTGGATCAGGGCACTCTGCACTGGGGCTGCCACCTCCCAGCCTCCATGGGATCCGACAATGGTTTGGCTTGGAAGGGCCTCAAAGCTCATCCAGTTCCATCCTGACACCTCCCACTGTCCCAGGAGCTCCAGCCCCAATATCCAGCCTGGCCTTGGGCACTGCCAGGGATCCAGGGGCAGCCACAGCTGCTCTGGGAATTCCATCCCAGCCCCTCCCCACCCTGCCAGGGAACAATTCCCAATTCCCAATATCCCATCCATCCCTGCCCTGTGGCAGTGGGAGCCATTCCCTGTGTCCTGTCCCTCCATTCTTGTCCCCAGCCCCTCTCTGGAGCCCCTTCAGGCCCTGCCAGGGGCTCTGAGCTCTCCCTGGAGCTGCTCCTGTCAAGGATGGCACCCCCAGCTCTGCCAGCCCGGCTCCAGAGCAGAGGGAGGGAAAGGGAGGCTCCACACAGGGAATCCATGCCAGGAACTCACCAGGAACGTGGCTCTCTCAAACAGCAGCACCTCGTCTGCCTCGATGATCTGAGCAAAGTTCCTCAGGTTCATCTCCAGCTGCTGCACGTTGGGGATCAGCTGGTAGACAATGCTGGACCAGGCCTGGACAGAGAGACACACAAAGGTCCCACCAGCTCCTCTCCTCAGCCCCTCGTGAGAAATGTGCTCCCAGAGGGATTTTTGGCACTTCTGGCTGCTGACAGCCTGGGCAAGGCTGAGAAGCTTCTCCACCCTTCATGCTCAGGTCCCAGAGGGAGTCCAGACCTGAGGAGACCCTTCCCTGGCTCCAGTTCTTCTCCAGCAGGCACAGAAACTGCAGTGCTGCTGAACAGACTAAAATCATCCCTGCTTTAAGCTGGGAATGCTTCTGTCTCCTTCTCCCACTTGAGTTCACAGAGATTTTTAATCCTGAGCAAGGTCAGCACACAGATGGACACTTGGCAGCTCATCCCTGACCCAAACAAAGTTCCACCTTATCCCAACAGGCCAG